GAATGACTTACAGCATCTGCCCGCATTGCTTTACAGAACATTCACCTTTGGGCTGGGTCATTGGGCACTGGGGCCCCCTGGTCTTCCAGGGGAGCATCTCCAGCAGAATCCCTTTTCCATATGGTATATGTGAGTTATTGAATATTATTACTAAGAGGAGCCTTAGCGATCAGCCCATTCAGAACACAGACCCTGAAGTCAGACAGCCCCAAGTTCCAATTAGCCTCTTGAAGCCTGTTTTCCCATCTGTAAAATGGGAATACAAAAGCTCCCACCTCATGGGGATGACTGTGAGGATTAATTTGTGTTTTCCCTACCCTTAACTGACACAGGGAGAAACAGGGGCTTGGAGAGGGAAAGAGCTTGGCCAGGGTCACTTGTGAGTTGGGGGTTAAGTCAAGACCCGATGGATCCCTTTCTCCTACCCCCCTCCCCACTTATCCCAATAGAAATCCTCCCCACCTGCTTCACCCCAAGCAGCCCAGAGGCCATGACAGTTGGCCAGTTTGTGCAGGCAACCACAGGGACATGTCCTGGGTCCCACCCTCCACCTTCAGCCCTGCCCAAGACTCTGCAGCACCAGAGTCCCAGGTGACCAGCAGTGGCCCCCAGCCCTCAGTGACAGTGGATGATGGGGACACGCAGTGGCAGACTCCCAGCCCAGAGCAGCCTGGCCATATAAGGGAAGGAGCCAGGAAGGTCTCCTGGCTCAGGCCTGGCGAGAAAATCCAGACAGCCACTGTTTATTTTCTCCTTCCCAGCCTCCCAAGAGCTTCCAGACAGAAGACAGAGGTTCCCCCTCAGGCCAAGCGACATTTCCTGAAGACAGTGGAGAACAGGGAGGAAAAACCAGTCCATCATCCAGGAGCAGCACCCCTGGCTGTGGACAGGTAGCACCAGGTAAGATTCTGCCAGGTAAGATTGTGAGGCCACCTGTTCAACTGCCTTCTTTGACAGAAGGGGAAACAGGGCAACAGAGAGAAGCGCTTGTGAGAAGGGATCACACCACTTGTGTGTCCCAAGAGGGACCCATCTCCTGACTGGGGACCCAGAGCAAGAAGGAGCCTCTCGTGGGGTAAGTGGAACAGGAGAGCTATGGACCCACTTCTCAGTGAGACATCATGTGAAGGAGAAAAGCCAGCTCTGTCTGCCTTCCAGCTAGTAGGCAAGACTCAAGGGAAGAGTTCCTGGGGCCAGAGAGCCAACAGAAGGACACCTTTCCTGCACCTCTGCCCTCCTCCCAGCCCAGCTGCAGAACCTCCTCCTCCAGGAAGCCCTCCCAGTTCCCCCAGGGAGGAGGAACCTAAGCCCTCAGCAGTCCTTTCTGGGCTCTCTCTTATGCCACTTGGGTCTGTCCCCTATTCAACTTGCCAAGGGCAATTTCCTTCCACTGACCAAGCTCCTCCAGGGTAAGGACCACATCAGATTCAGGCCTGTCTCCCCTCGGCACGTAGAAGATGCATTTGGTTTGCTGAACGGACAGGTGAAATGGTTAGATCCTGTCCCCAACCCTGATGGATTGGTAAATAGGTCAGGGGATGACACATGGAGCATGGAGGTTAAAAATTATGGTCCTGAGGCAGCTGTTCTGATAGGAATCCCAGCTGGGCTCCTAGTTCCATGCCCTTGGAAAATCCCCTTCCCATGGAGCCTTGGGGATACACGGGGATTAGCACAATTAAAACCCTCAAGAAATGAACATTCTTATTACCATCAGCATCACTATGATTTTTCTAGAGACAAAGGAACAGAACTAGACAGCCTATAGCCATAGAGGATATAGAGGCAAATACCTTCCCCTGGTCAAAGGTCTCAACCTCTGTCCCTGTGTCAGAGTTTCCCACAGGAGCGTGGGACTGCCTCCCATCCACTTCCTGTTTCTACACCCAGGAGAGCTGCTATCTTCGTGGCAATATTCTGAGCCCAATGGGGTGTGCTGGAAATAGCCGCCAATTCCCCTGGTTCAAGCCAGTCTGTGACCCGGGAACCGTCTCCTCCCCTTCCTGGCCCTCCATGTGGTGGTGATAAGGGTCCCCTGACCACTGCATGGCTGCTCTGCAGATTAAATGTGATGGGGCAGTTTTTCAAACGGCAGGCACTCAGATGCCCCCTTTTTAATTTTGGCCATATCTGCCAACAATCAAAATATTTTAAAATTTAAGAAGAGTCATTTTTAATACCTAAATATAAATGGGAAACTAAAATACTGTCCATAATTAGGAGATAATAAAGGTAAGAATAGAGACAGTAAAAATGCAACAGCGTTCTTATTCTCTCCTCTGGTACATAGCTTGCAAGCCCCTGGGCCTGAGGGAGATAAACAGGAGCCAGAAAAGTGTCAGAGACAGGATAGCACCAAACTGAGGCTCTCTCCCCCTGGGAAACAGAAGGACTGGAAGCAAACACAGGGAATAGCCTGAGTCACTGTGTCTTCCAGAGTTAGTGCCCAGGGGCTTCCCTGGTAGCGCAGTGGTTAAGAATCTGCCTGCCAACGCAGGGGACATGGGTTCGAGACCTGGTCCAGGAAGATCCCACATGCCGCGGAGCAACTAAGGCTGTGCGCCACAACTACTGAGCCCACGTGCCACAGCTACTGAAGCCTGCGCACCTAGAGCCCGTGCTCCGCAACAAGAGAAGCCACCGCAATAAGAAGCCCGCACACCGCAACGAAGAGTAGCCCCCGCTAGCCGCAACTAGAGAAAGCCCGCACGCAGCAACGAAGACCCAGCACAGCCAAAAATAAATAAAAATAAAATAAATAAACGTATTAAAAAAAACAAGAAACAAAGTTAGTGCTCAGGCCACGTACTCTACAAAATCGCCCGCTCTCTGTGCTGCGTTCGGAAGCCAAAGGTGGTCAGGTGAAAGAGCTTTGGAAACAGTCCGGCACAAAGGAATGCAGGGGTCTGGCCTAATCAGCTTGCTTCCCAGCAGCAAATGATCACTTTTTCGGGACGACCCTCCCTGGCTTCTTACTGAAATCTCCACGTTGGCCAGGGCGAGCGTTTCCTCTCCAAGAGCTAGTGGGAGCCGTCTGAGAGTGGAGTAGACAGGCTATGGGCCGTTCAGGACCCCCAAGCTGGATCCTGATGTTGGAATCACTCCCCAGCCAAACGCAGTTTGGAAAGAGTTCCTCCATGAGAATTCCATATTAGAGCGAGGCAGTTCTTTGGGTGGGAATACCTGAGGCAGGGGCTGTCCCACTCAGCAGGCCAGCAGGCCTGACTTGCCCCAAGTGGCAGACCAGAGGTAAACACTCTGCAGATCAAGGCCTGCTTTCAGACTTCTGCCAGAGGCATATGAGACTATTATTCGAAGGAGGCGTGTGTGTTTTCCTGCTCTCTCCCACCCCCGAGAAAAGGCTGCTGGTTCCCTTCACCCTTCAGACATCCCTGAAAGTATATGTCATCCGGCACCAAGGCCACCCAGTGGGCATCAGCAATGCAGGAGGGTCCTCTGGGGGTGCCCTGAGATCTTGGCGGGGCAGAAGAAATAGAGGCGAGGCTCAGCCTGCTCACTCAGAGGTTCCCACCCAAGCCAGGTCTTGAGAGGAAAATGAATTATCTACATGGTCATTCAATCATCCACTAAGTGGCATTCCCTGGGACCCATCATCATGTACAAAGGCCTCCACAAGGCGCAGGGATCCTCACCATTAACAAATGTGGGTGCTGTCCTCAGGGAACTGGAGATCTAACCCAGTCAGACCCAGATGCAAAGAGCTCTGACACTGGAGAGAATGAGGTTGAAGAATACGATTCAGCCACTCTTACAACGCATATTAGGATCTAGCATCACAAGTATGGTAAAGGATTAGAAAGAGAAAGAGGGCAGAAGATGTGTGAGGACATGGACCAGGGTGTCCTGATGTCTGAGAAAGTCAGAGAGGGCTTCCCACAAGAAGTAGCCGTTTGGTCTCCTCTTCCACCAGGAGGAGACGGGCAGGGGAGCAAGAGGGAGCAGCATGGTAGCTGGGGGCCCTGAGGTGGTAGGCACAGGGCTCCTTGGAGGAATGGAAAAAAGGGGCCAGAGGCCCAAGGGGAAGTGGCCAGCTGGGCCAGATGGGTCAGGCCTTGTAGCCTTTTGTGAGGGTTTCAGAATTTAGCCAGAGGGCAGTGGGAGAGTTTTTAGCATTTTAAGCCTAGGAGAGATATGGGCATATTTGCATTTTGAGAAATCACTCTAGGAGGATGGCTGGGATGGATGGTTGCGAAGTCAGTGGGAGTAGAAGCAAGGAGGCCAGGTAGGAAGCTAAGACAAATGTTTGATGGTATAAAATATAAAGTACCATGAATGTACCGTTTGGCTGGGATGCACCAAGCATAAATGTGGGGTATGGGGTCAAAAGGTAGAACATTATATTGGATGGCTCCATTTACTGAAATGCCAAGATTAGCAGCTCTGTAGAGACAGACCTGCCTGGGGGCTAGGGGTGATGGGAGGTGGGTAGGAGGGGCTAAATGGTAAGAGGGTTCTTTTGGAATGATGAAACGTTCTGAAATCGATTGTGAATGTATTACCACTTTGTGAATGTATTAAAAACCACTTCATTGTGCAATTTAAATAGGTGAATTATATTTCAATAAAACTGTTTAAAAAGAAAAGAAAAGGAAGGTTGAGGCTTGGTCCCAGAGGGCTCAAACGCCAGGCTGAGGACAGGAAACACATCTGTGGTAGTTACAGCAGCCTCTGGGGCAATAGCTGGATGGTGGAGCTGAGGCCCCTCTAATGCCCCTTCTCCTGTCTAGGGTGGACTCCCTGCCATCAGCCCCTGGTGCAGAGCAGCGTGGCACCCTGTCTCCCAGCCTGAGGTGCAGTGCTGCATCTCTGGTCAGTTGGGAGTCTGAGATGAAGCACTGTAGCTCGGGAAGGGAGAAGTTGTTCTGCGGCCGTTGCCTGGACGTGGTAAGTGGTAGTGGTGCTTGCAGGCACCAGGAAGGACGGGAATGTTTCCACTCTCCATATGGTCAGCTGAGGAAGTTGCTGGACTCAAGTCCTACCTGTGCCACCATCTGCTTCATGATTCTGGGCAAGGCCTGAATCTTCTGTGCACCCCAGTTTGTCCATCTGTAAAGTGAGGTGTTGGAGCACTCAGTGATGGCCATTACCCAGCACCCTGACTCTGCTTTCACTTTCTGAGCCCATGACAGACACTGCTAATCGGTCGAGGCATCCTTTCTTTTTTCTTTCTTTCTTTTCTTTTGTAATTTTGTAAAACTTTTTATCTTATATTGGAGTACAGTTGATTAACAATGTTGTGTTAGTTTCAGGTGTACAGCAAAGTGATTCAGTCATACACATACATGTATCTATTCTTTTTCAAGTTCTTTTCCCATTTAGGTTGTTACATAATATTGAGCAGAGTTCCCTGTGTTATACAGTAAGTCTTTGTTGGTTATACATTTTAAATACAGAAGTGTGTACGTGTCAATCCCAAACTCCCTAACTATCCCTTCCCCCAACTCTAAGGCATCCTTTCTTGAAGCATTCAGGTACAGCTTCAGAATCCTTGTCAGCACTAAGTTCTGGAGAGCTACTGTTAATGATTCGAAGCTACAACCCTTCATCATTTGTGAACTGGACAATTCCTAAAAACCCTTTCAGCCTTAAAGACAAAAGTCCTGGGCTTTGAGTCAGGCTCTTCACTCTTTGAGGTGTTGCCTAAGTTAGTCCAGGCATCTCCCAAATATCTGACCCCTCTCAGTGGCTTCAGACAAGCAAGAAACAGCAGAGGAAAATCACTGGGCTAAGCACAATTTTATTTAACCTCCCAACAAGCTTGGGAGGCAAATGTTATTAACCCATTTTCCAGATAAGAAAACCGAGGCTCAGTTAAGCAACTGGCCCAAGGTCACACACTGACTATGTTGAGCTGGGCTTGTAACCTAATCTGTCTGCCTTCGGATCCATGTTCTTACCCACTGCATGTGGTCTTGTCCTTACATCCTGGGTCACTTTTAGCAAAGACAGACCAAGACATTTTCCATTAATCCTGTAGGTTTCCTTCCTCTTCTCCTCCCCGCCCCCAGCCACCATAGTTGTATTTATCTCACCTTATCCAGTAGGTCCTATACCATAGCATTTTACAGTTGGGGAAGGCTGAGGTTAAGTGATTTGCTGAGGGTCACCAACAAAGAAGTTGCCAAACAGAGACTGGGAACTGGATCCGCCCAGTTGGTTTAGAGTAAAACCCTCCCTCTGGCTGGAGACTAAGGAATACACATGATCCATGGCAGTCGAAGGGGGGAGTGGGGTGTTACCAGATGGTTTCTGGTTGACAACATGGCCTTTGACTACAGGGAAGGTACTTTCCGGGGCAATTGAAGTTCCAGTCACTACTCTCCCCCCGGAGCAATCATCCACATCCCGCGAGACACAGCAGCCGCCCTGGCTTCTGCAGATGGGGCCAGATGCAGAAGAAAACTCCAGCTGGTCCTTAGGGACATGCCAGAGCCTTGGTGCTGAAGGCCACTCTCTCACCTTGTCCTCACGGTCCAGTTTTCCCAGGAATCCCTTAGATGCTAAGATGGGGATTCCTGGAAATACTGTTCTTGAGGTCATGGTTTAACAGCTGGACGCGTCTCCTTCCCACCCAGAGTTGCCCCTGCAGGGCTTGGGCTCAAGCACGTCATGAGGTCAAGTGGAAGGCCATGCACTAGAGGTAAGAGGGCTTGAGAACTGTGTTCTTGACCTTTAAGTTGCTTTTCTTTCCATTTTGTCCATTTCGTAACATCCTGTGAGGCTGGAATGGGAACTTCACCACTGTCCTGCTCTCGGGAACTTTGTCCAGGCACTCAGTTGAGCAGTGGTTGAACCAGGACACCATAAAGCATGTGTTTCTTTCTGCCTCCACCGCACCCCCACCCCACTTCCCCGCATGCCAAGCAATAGGGGTCGCACTATCGAATCAGCATTATTGATAAATGAATAAATGTACGTGAATTTATTTTAAAAGTTTGCTAAATCAGTTAGCTAAACTAAAAACAAAAAAAACCATTAAGTTTTAGTTCGATTTGTAATGCAGCCACAGAAAAATTTTTAAATTTTTCATTAAGGTAGAGAAGACAAAAAAGCTCAGAGTGCCCTCTTGTGGTGATGCCTCTCTCAACCTGCTTCAGAAACACTGAGGCTCGCCTCTACACACACACACACACACACACACACACACACACACACACACACACGCGCGCGCGCGCACACACACACACACTCTGAGATTCCTTTTGCCCCAGTCACTTTTGAGCCACTGACCACGTAAGCCCCATCCATCCTCTCATTACCAATGACCATCACTTACGATTTACTTTAACTCGCATCACCTTCGTCTCAAAGCTCCTGAGGTTCAGAGAGGTCAAGTAACCAGCCCACAGTCACTCACATAGCATAAGGCAGAGCCAGGATTGATTCCAAGTTCAGTGGCTTGTGGCAATTCCTCAGCCAAAAGTAAAAACTGCAAAAATAAAAAATAAAAGTAAGACAATCTGAATAGACAGAGAAAATGCTAGCTGAATGAATCCCAGAGACCTGAAGTGGTCCAGGTGCAACACTAGAACTTTTCACAAACTCTTCCTAGTGCTTTTGATGGAGTTGGTAGAGACAGGAGGTGTCGTGGCCCCAGGAGCCTCGCTTTGGGGTCTGCTTGCCGTGCTCCCAGGGACCAGGTGGCTCCCACATGTCTCAGGCTGTCTCTCTAACAGGCCACATTGAAGACATTTATAAAATATGAGATCTCCCTCCCCCTTATCCTCAGAGACTGGAGCTGGACTGACCATGAAGAAATCTGATTTGCTCCTAATGATAATAATAGCTTCCACTCACGAATATTTACAACTTACTGGGGCCTGACCGGGCCCTGTGCTAAATGCTTTCACAGGCACTGTCTCATTCAATCCTCACAACAACCCAGTGAGGTAGGTTGTATCACATACTCCGTTTCACAGATGAGGCAGCCAAGGCACAGAGAGGTTAAGACACTTGCCTAAGATCACACAGCTAACAAGTTGTGAGGCTGAGTCAAATCAAGTCTGTGTTTATGCTTATCACCTGCCCTTGCCCCCTCTCTCCCTTTTGGCCTGGACTGGCAGGTGGGGCTACCTCCCGTGGCTTCCCCTGGGGGAGAAGGTAAAACAAGCCTTCAGTGAGACCCAAGCAGTCCCTCCTGTGCTCTGTGACTATAATAAAATGCTGGACCCTTGGCTTGTGTCCTGTGTCTTCCTGGGAACATGAGGGGAGGGGGAAGGAGGTGACAGCAGGGAGAGAACATAAGCCTGTATTAGTTTACTAGGGCAGCTGTAACAAAGTACCACAGACTGAGTGGCTTAAACGATAGAATGTTATTTTATCATAGTTCTAGAGGCTGGAGGTCTAAGATCAAGGTGTCAGCAGGGTTGGTTTCTTCTGAGGCCATTCTCTTTGTCTTGTAGATGGCTGTGTTCTCCCTGTGACTTCACTCTGTACATGTCAGTGTCTTAATCTCTTCTTATAAGGACACAAGTCCTATTGGTTAAATTAAAGCCCACGCATATGACCTCATTTAACATTAATTATCTCTTTAAAGACCCTACCTCCAAATACAGTCACAGTCTGAGGTACTGGGGGTTAAGACTTCATCATGAATTTGGGGGGGACACAATTCAGCCCATAATACAGCCTCAGTTGAGGCAACCCTCAACTGAAGGCAGGTGCCTTCACACTGCCAGACACTTCCAGAAGCCGGCTAGATAGCAACCAGGACCCACATCAAGACAGTCAGAAGCCCAAGGAAGATGCCAGGCCATGTCTGGGAACACCTGCTGTAGAGCATGGGGAGGGAGAGAGTCCCACGAGGTGAGGTCCCCTAGGGCGGGACCAAGGCACATGCTGGGGAGCGCTCAGGGCCTGGCCACGCGGCAGCCTCGCCCCTTCAGTCCTAAAGGTGTGACTGACCAGGTCGAGGAGGCAAGACAGAGTCTGAAATCACACTTCACACAGGCGTCAGGGTTCAGAGTGAACTCGACATTAGCTGTACCACAGGCATCATGCCCAACACATGGGGACATTTTAATTTCTTTTTTTTTTTTTTTTTTTTTTGCGGTATGCGGGCCTCTCACCGCTGCGGCCTCTCCCGTTGCGGAGCACAGGTTCTGGATGCGCAGGCCCAGCGGCCATGGCTCACGGGCCCAGCCGCTCTGTGGCATGTGGGATCTTCCCGGACCAGGGCCACGAACCCGTGTCCCCTGCATCGGCAGGCGGACAGACTCTGAACCACTGCGCCACCGGGGAAGCCCCACATGGGGACATTTTAAACACAATTAGTCTGCCTTCGGCACAATCCTCCAACTCCACTACATTCTGAGGGAAAAAAAAATCAACATCCTGACAAACAACCTTTTACAATTCCCAGAGCCTAAGACCTCCCCACACCTCTCCTCTGCGCCCCCAAACAAGGCCTGCGCACCTGCCCTGCACTGTGGAGGAGCCCAAGGTCCCACAAGGGCCCGAGACTGCTTAGGAGCCACAGGGACGAGTGCAAGAGGCAGGATGGAGGGCGAGCTCCTCTGGCCAGCGCCCTGCCGTCCACTGCACCCCACGCCCCAATGACACACCCCATTCTTGTTCAACTTTGGAACAGTTCCCGGCCAGACACTGGGGCCTCCTCGAAACTCACAGGCCTTGTGCTACTGAGGTCCTTCTAGAACTCTCCCTCACACCCCTGGGGAATTATTGCGGACTCCCACAGGTGGGTTCGACACTGTGGTTTGAGATTCCCAGGAGTGGAGGGGTGCACAGGAATAACAGCAAACGTCCAGCAAAGGGGATGTCCTTTTTTTTTTTTTTTTTTGCGGTACGCGGGCCTCTCACTGCTGTGGCCTCTCCCGTTGCGGAGCACAGGCTCCGGACACGCAGGCCCAGCGGCCATGGCTCACGGGCCCAGCCGCTCTGCGGCATGTGGGATCCTTCCGGACCGGGGCACGAGCCCGAGTCCCCTGCATCGGCAGACGGACTCTCAACCACTAATGCCACCAGGGAAGCCCCGGGGGTGTCCTCTTTATTTACCTCTGCCAGCCTTTACTGGGTGCCTGTGTGCACCTGGTGCTGGGGACACGGCAGTGAACGAGACAACCAGAGAACTCTACCTTGTGAGGATGATTCGCTCACACACACGTAGGTGTGAGATCCTGCACTCCTCTTCCAGAATTTCAGTGTTGAGACCGTTTCTGAACACAGCTGTAAAGTAGTAACACTTTCAAATACATCCCTACATGCCAGGCATGCCGTGGGCCTCTGTCCTGTGGGCAGAAGGAATTGGCACCCCCTGACAACTCTGGTGACAGATCCCCAGGTCGAAGCCCAGGCTCTTCCAGCAGTGACCGTCTGCACTTCCTTTTACTGAGAGGGCGTCCTGCACCAGGTGCCTCCTGTGGGAGTGTCCAAGGAGGCAGCGTGACGCAGACAGGAAGGAGGTGGTGCCCTCTTGTGGCCTAACCTGGAAGGACAGGCTATCTTGAAGGACTTGTCAGGGGTAAGGGGGGATTGTTATCAGTGACCATTATCTAACACATTTGCATAGGATTTTGCATCTCAAAATGCACTTTTCATCCCATGACTTCATTTGATCCTTGGGTTTTTTAAATTAATTAATTAATTAATCTATTTATTTATTTTTAGTTGCGTTTGGTCTTCGTTGATGCGCGCAGGCCCTCTCCAGTTGCGGCGAGCGGGGGCCACTCCTCTCTGTGGTGTGCGGGCCTCTCTTGCTGCGGAGCACGGTCTCCAGGTGCGCAGGCTTCAGCAGTTGTGGCACACGGGCCTAGCTGCTCCAGGGGATGTGGGATCCTCCCGGACCAGGGCTCGAACCCGTGTCCCCTGTATCGGCAGGCGGACTCTTTACCACTGAGCCACCAGGGAAGTCCTTGATCCTTGTTTTGAGATACATCTTGTCATCGTATTTTTACAGAAACCCAGTGAGGTTTAAACAATACTAATTCAAATTCTAATAATAACTAACACCTATGATTTATTGATCCCTTACTCTGTGGCTGGCACTGTGAATTTATTTTGTACATATTATCTCATTTGTGAGATTCAGATAGAGAACAAAGTATTAGACACGTGTCCAGGGCCGCAAGACTGCTAAACAGTTACATTGGGAAGCAAGCACCAGCCCCGCACTCAGGCCAACAATCTCTCACACGAGCTTGAAAAGAGAAGTGTCCAATCTGGTCCTCCAGCTCCTGGAAGATTCCCAGTTGCCTTGGGCTGGGAAGAAGCCCTGGGAGACTTCATCCAGCAGGATTGACGCTGCTACAGATCCCAACATGCTGGAGATACCATCTCCTGCTTCCGGGTGTGCTCTGAGGGAACTGGCACCCTTGGCTCAGTAGAGAGATTCTATTTCCTGCTTCAAGGGGAGAATTTCCCCAGGCTCCTGAGAGCTGCCTCTCTCAAAGCGGACAGCAGCAAGGGCACCCCAATATTGCTACAGGATGTGGTCCAATGATCCAGACAAAGGAGGTGAAAGGGGTTGCTGTGATCCTGAGAGAAAGAGCTCCCTCCCTGAGGGAGCTAGAGGGAGGCCGGGAGGAAGACAGTCTGGCCTGTGGGGGATTGCACATCTCCAGCAGTCCGGCGGGCCTGGCCAGCAGCCTGTGCAAGCCAATCTCATTGCTGTAAAAGGGCAGTGGCCAGAAGAGGGGACTCAGGCCTGTCCCTGCATTTCAGACCTAGGCAGCCCCTCTCCAGGTCATGGAAGCAGGCAAAGTGGAAACCAACCAAGCAGGGATGGAATAGGTCCAGATTTGCTCCTTTTTCTTGAAATATGGGGATGGAACCCAAGTGGCCTCAGTCTGGGGACAGTCAGGGGCATGTCAGTTGCACTCTAATCTGTGGGAAGCTGGAAGGAACCACAGCTCCACTAATTTAGAGACTGTCCCCTCTGACCCAGGCCATCTACCACTCCAACATCCCAAAACAGTGTGTTTCCTTGGCCTGCTCATCCCAGAACAATTTCTGACAGAGGGGCATACACAGCAGCTTGCATAACTCCAGTGACAGGGACCTCACCACTTCACCAGCCAGCCTATGTCCTTGATCACCTTGGATTGTTAGGAGGCCCTTCTCTTGTTGGAGTGAAAGCTCTGTCATTTTCCCTAGTTCCTTTGCTGCCCACAGAGATTTATGAACGGTGGCCCTGGCTTCCTTCCCCTCCTCCAGGCTAAACATGCCTGGGGCTCCCAGTGGGCCTCTGAGACTGAATTTAAGCTTGTTTCCCTGCCTGCACAATCAAGACCCCTTCTTTGGGGCCAGGACCTCCTCTGAGAGCCTTATAAAATCAGTCAACCATCTCTGTGAAAATGGCGCACGTCCACACAAAATGTTACATACTACTTTAGAGGATTCATAGGCCCTTTCTTCAGTGCATGTCACAGTTTCTAGAAAGTGGCTGGCCTTTAGTACTAATTTATATATTCGACAAATGTTTACAGAGGGCCTACCATGTGCCAAGTGATGTTTCTGGTGCCCAGAATGGAAGGGTAAATAAAACAAATCCTAGCTCCAAGAATGTACAGTCTGGAGCAGGAGAGAGACACCAACAAATCAGCCACCACATCATTCACTTTATGTTGTGATGAATTCAAGGAAGATGATGAAAGAGTACAATGAGACGTGGCAGGCTTTGGAGAGCCATTTTAAATTGGGAGGTCAAGGAGGGCCTCTGGAGGGGGTTGACATCTGAGTAGAGATCTGATGACAGGAAGACAGTGTGGACTGAAGAGTCGGGGGTGGGGGGGGGGGGTCAGGCAGCACCAAGGATGGCTGTCAAGACTCTGAGGCAGAAGGAGACCAGGGAGGCTAACGCCTGGAGCGGAGGAGGGGATATGAGACAGGGTTGAAGGGCACAGGGCCAGGCCGAGTGGGGAGTCTAGGTCTCGTCTAAGTGCAGTGAATGACACGGTCAGGTATATGTTTCAAAAGATCACTCAAAGTGGGGAGTGGAAGCAAAATGTATTCCCCTTTCATGTTTCCTTATATCTGCATAAAGAAACCCTGGAAAAATATAGAAGAACTTAGTAAGTGCGGTTACCTAGAAAAGCAAGACTTCTTAATATTTACATATTATATTGTTTTGACATTTGAATGACCTGTATATTTACCTGTATTACTTTCTTGTGGCTGCCATAACAAATTATGACAAACTGGGTGAACTAAAACAATCGAAATGTATTACCTCATAGTTCTAGAAACCAGAAATCTGCAACCAAGGTTTTGGCAGGGCCAGGTTTGCTCTAAAGATCCTAGGGGAGTTTGTCCCTTGCCTCTTCCATTTTCTGGTGGCTCTGAGCATCCTTTGGCTTGTAGCTACATCACCCTCTGCCCTGCATTGTCTCCTTCTCTTCTGTCTGACAGATCTCCTCCGTGTGTCTCCTGTAAGGGCATTTACCATTGAATCAGGGCCCACCTGAATGATCCAGGATAATCTCTTCATCTCAGGATCCTTAACTTGGTCACATCCGCAAAGATCCTTTTTCCAAATGAGGTCGCATTTACAGATTCCAGGAATTAGTGTGTGGACATGTCTTTTGATGTGCCACCATTCAACCCATCACAATAGCTGTCCAATAAGATCAAAGTAAACTTTAAAACTTGGTTCTAGCTCTGGGGTGACAGAGGGACTGCAGGGTGACAGATGGAAGAGAGGAGGGAGGTGAAGGGAGGTGGGTATGTGTGGGAGCAAAGGTCCACTGGGCTCCAGAGGGATCAGATGCAGGATGGAGGGAACATCATAAGGCATCCCCCACCACTCCTGGGTCTAGCTTGAGCAAATGGGCAGGCTTTGGTGCCTTCACTGAGGCTGGGAAGATCAGAGGACAAGGGGGCTCCAGGGAGGTGGGAAGTGAGACTGGGAGGGAGAAGTAGTAGACATTTCAAGGTAGAAGTTACCATGAAGGAAGCTGGATATATATGTGGTGAGGCCTGCAAAAACCTTTAAGGGAACGGAAGCCTCAGGCTCAGGCTACAGAAAACCCATCACCTCCCTCGTTTTGAAAGCTCAGCATCTACTGATGCAAGGCCAGGCTGCAGCCACGTCACAGAAGTGGCTGTGACTCAGCTTGGGAAATCTAGGTTTTTACCATGCTACACTTATGCAACCAAGTCTTTGAATCTAAATGCAAGACTTCTCGTCTCCAGGGTAAATTTCCGTGTCTCTATGACTAATCTTTCCAAATAATTCTGCCTCCAAACCAAATAGGACAGTATGCATGGTATGATCCCAGTTTCATAGGGGAGAAAATGACTCTCTTCAGGTATGTCTATAACAATAGCTAATCTTCACTGAGGTATTATGCTGACCACTGCATGCTTTATTTCATTTAATTCTCTTCATCACAGTTTGAAGTAGATGTTATCATTATTCCCATCTTACAGAGAAAGATAATGAGGCTCAGAGAAATTAAGTAAATCTTGCTCACAGCCACCCAAGTAGTAACTGTTAGGACTGGGACTTGTACCCTAGCGGTCTTGGCTTTTGTGTCTATAATCATTACTGCCCCTCCTCATTCGTGCCCTCTTATGGATATACATGCACATTAAAAAGTTCAAGGAGGGCTTCCCTGGTGGCTCAGTGGTTGAGAGTCCGCCTGCCGATGCAGGGGACACGGGTTCATGCCCTGGTCCAGGAAGATCCCACATGCCGCAGAGTGGCTGGGCCCGTGAGCCATGGCCGCTGAGCCTGCGCGTCCAGAGCCTGTGCTCCGCAACGGGAGAGGCCACAACAGTGAGAGGCCCGCGTACTGCAAAAAAAAAAAAAAAAAAAAGAAAAAAGTTCAAGGAGATACCTACAAAGCTGTTAACAGTGGCGGGTTCTGAGAGGGGTGTGGGAAGGAGTACACATTCTCTACTGCTGCCTTACTTTTAATTATCTTCAAGGAACAATGCTTTTTTAATTTAAAAATATGTATTTATCAAAAGAAAAGTCTGGAAGAATATACAACAAAATGTCAACAGCACAGGACTTCCCTGGTGGCACAATGGTTAAGAATCCACCTGCCAATGCAGGGGACACAGGTTCGATCCCTGGTCCGGGAAGATCCCACATGCCGCAGAGCAACTAAGCCCGTGTGTCACAACTACTGACCCCGCATGCCACAACTACTGAAGCCTGCGTGCCTAGAGCCCGTGCTCCGCAACAAGAGAAGCCACCGCAATGAGAAGCCTGCACACCGCAACGAAGAGTAGCCCTCACTCGCCACAGCTAGAGAAAGCCCGTGCACAGCAACGAAGACCCAATGCAGCCAAAAATAAATAAATAAAAATGTCAACAGCAGTTACATCTGGGGAGCATGAGCAGGAAAACTATCTTCTACACCATATA